GCCCCAGACAGCATAGCTCCTAGGATCATTGGGACACACAAACCCCTCCACCACGATAAGGTAGCAGCCCAAGGAGAGGGCTTTAGAATTAGGGGACCTAAATATTAAAGTTAGTGCTTTAGGGTTAGTGCAGCTAATGTTTAGATTAGTGCTGCCTATCACTGTATACATGAATATATACAGTAGTTTAAACATCAATACAAAAGCATTTTCCTCAGATTAAAAGAGAAACCCTTGAAAACTTCACATTACAAATGAAAACAGTGGTTTTAGATTACACAGACACCAGTTTGTGTGATTTTTGTTTTTATTATTAAATAAAAAATCTAATTTCAACTCTTAGGATGAATCTTTACAAGATGTGGCTGCTTGGGAAAGCAGAAACAGGACCAGTTTTCAGTCTRGAGTGAAAAACATGCCAACGTTAAAAAACTCCAGGAAGGAAGTCGACCAGTCCAGCAGTCTGTGAGGACAGACCGACACCGACAAGAAAAAGTGCTTCTTTATAAATCTTTGCCTCCTGTAAGTTTCTGAGGTCCGAGTCCTTAAAGCTTTAAYTCTTCAGGGTGTCCACAGGCCAGCCTGATGTCACCAGGGTCGTCCCACCCTGGACAGGGACAGAGAGGGTCTTCTATCAGTTATCAGTATTTCTCAGTGAGTGAGTGTAGGAGAGCTGCTGCTCAGGGGAGCGTGTCTTTATTTTACCTCCTTCCCCATCACGAGCTCCAGCCGTATGATTGGATTCTGGGCATCGAGGCGTTCGGTCCAACCAGCTCCTCAGCTGTCAGCCTGGGGGGTGGGGGGGCCGGATCACCGCTGCACCGAGGGGAACGTTTGAGAGGCAGCACCGTTTCTCATCCAAACTTCCATTTTTATCTGCGAAAACAGTCAAACAAGCTCAAAGCAAAGCGTTTAAAACCACTCAGATTATTTATCTGCTTAAATAAACATGTTTAAATCAAAACTTCATGCTGAAACAAAGGAAAAGAGGTGATTAAAAAGACTTGGTTTGTGCAGAAATCAAGCAGGAAAACTGAAATTAAAAGATTAGATCTTCAGATAGTTAATGAGTTTGAATATCTCGAGGTTATTTTAAAAACATTTCAGAACTTCAGAGAAATGAGGTCATCACTGACTGAAGTTCTACAGAAGAGCATCACATTCACCAAAAACTAAAAATAAAGATCCTGATCATATGATGACGAGATAAGATCTCATAATATGATCCTGATCTTAAATGAGGATTTTGAGCAGGTGTGTGTGTGTGTGTGCGTGTGTGTGTGTGAGTGCCCAGAACAAGCTGTTTATCCAGCAGAGTTTAATCAAGGTGTAGAGAATGAAACAGGAAGTGTGCTCTTTACAGAAGTTAACACATTTCAGATGCATTAACTWCTTATAGCCACAGCATCTCGTACTGCAGGAGACAGACTTCCAGCAGGTCACAGTTTCACTTAAACAACTGCAAGAAAGAGACCTGCATCATGTCAACATACTAATATTAATGCTTTGTTCTGACTGTATTAAATGGGACCAGAAGTACAGTACCTCTACTGTAGACTGGTGTGCAGGTGGATTTATTAACAAACAGCAGACACAACACCATGCAGGTAGAAAAATCAAAAATAAAAATAAGTAGACCCTCTGGACGGGTTCTTCTTTYACGAAACGTTTCATCTCTTCTCCAAGAGACTTCTTCAGTCTGAGTTTCAGGTGAACTCAGCCTTAAAAGCTCCGCCTCCACATGGTGGACAAACAGGTCACAAAGGACCATCAGCCAAACTATAGGTCGTTAGTGTCTTGATTGGCTCTATTGTTCATAGAGGGTCATGTGCCCCATCACCTGACTATCYTCAGTAGCTGTGTTTCCATRGCAAATGTGCACAAAACTTTGTTGATATTCTGTTAATGTCGCAAAAACAGTTTCACAACTGCAGAGTTTCCATTAAGTAATAAATGTTATTAAAGTCACGTGAATATGTTTGTTCTCATGATAAGTCATTACAAACATGGCGGCGATGGATGTAAACACA